TAAAGAAGCCACACACTGAAAAACTAGAGGTGAGGACTCCAAGATATCTTTTAGGAGAGATGTAATTCAACAGTGACACAAGGTGCAGTTTTCCCTAGAGGGAGAGTGGGGGCCAGAACAGGAGAGGTTTCCTCTTCGCTGTGCCCACTTCCAGTATTGGCCAGGGCTAGGCAGGCCCTCCCCCCGACACAGCAGCGGCCATCTGATGGGACTGCATCGATTGCCATCTGTCTCTTTCCCCTTCCAGGGGAGGCTCGCTGGGGCATGCCTTGAGCTGGGGTTATTTGTGAGCTTTGAGTAATTGACTGGCTTTCCACTCCAACTCCAAAAAATTCATTTATACTTGTTTCTTCCTCCTTCCCACTCCCTAAAGTGAGGAGTTACGGGTGTTCCCTTATCAATTCTCAAGAATGTCATTTTGTAGTTTGTTTTTGTTGTTTTCCCACCTCTAGGCTGTAGACTCTCAGATGTAGGCTGGCAATGTGCCCTCTGTAACCTAGAGCTCTGCACACTGTTCTGACACAGTCACCAAAGCTGGGCGGGCAGGCTGACTGCCCGGAGCCTCAGGACCGGCGGGGCAGGTGGGGAGGAAGCCGTCCTTAGCGCAAAGAAGTCACCATCCATAGTTTTGCCAGTTTTGCCACTCCTGCTTTGAGCACATTGTAAGAGAGAAGGTATGCGGATTCTGAACCCATCATTTGGCCCTGAAATTAGGGGTGGGGGGAACCAGGGATGGCCCTGTGGTGTTGGGGGGACACTTATTTCTCCCTCTTCACATCTCTGTTGGAGAATCCTTTCACTTTCCTACTCTCCGCTCCCCATTACCTCGTTCCCAAGGAAGGCTGCTTGTGTCCTGATGGTGGGAGCCTGGTGTCTCTTGGGTCAGGAACATACTTACCATAAGATGCAGAATCACCGCATTGGAAAGATAACGTGGGCTGCCTCTTGTTCTCTCGGCAGCCCTGTTCTCAAGGGGCAGAATACCCGCACTGGGTTTTCAGAATCTGTGTGTACACAGCCCAGGGCACACTTTTGCAAAGCCCAGCCAGGTCTGTGCATTCTCCCCACCTGTGATCCAAGAGTAAGAGGCCAGGGCTTTCCTGGGCACCTGTTCCCCACACCTGCAAGTTAGGAGGGGGAGCTGGAGGCGTCTACATGGGGTGAAGGTCCCAGCCACCCTGCCCAGCCCAGTGCAGCAGGAAGCCCTGTGCTCTGAGAAGAATCTGGCCCCTCTGGGTAAAGCTGGTGCGGTGATCACCTTTTGGCTTAATATCTGTTCTTCTGTAGCAAGAACCTGGGGGATGGGGTGGGGGAGAGGATGGAGTAAGAGACTGGGTGGGTAATTCCTGGTTGGGACTTTAGAGAAGTGCTACAGGAGGGAAGGTGCATGTGATGTCTCTATCCAGCAACAGTTCAGGCACGGAGCTGTGTGCCCTCTCGCCTTCCTAGAGGTGCCCACACACGCTTTCACTTACTCCTCCTAACAGGTGTCCCCGGGAGGAGTGCTTATAGGTTGGTCATCACCTCTGTAGAAGCCTATAAACTTTGTTTTGTATTTTATCGTAAAGTATTTGATACATACACATACATGTGTGTTATTTATGTAAGTTGCCAAACCTAGTAACAAAACCAAAGCCTCAGAATCTAACACCCACCGTGTGAAATACTCCCAGTGTTTGCAGCGCTTGTGTGGGCTGCTGTTGTCCTCCTGCCCCCTCTCAAGGTAACCCCCATCTTGATGGTGGTTGTCACACACCCCATTTTCAAGGCGCTTTTACCACACATCTGCGTATCTCTCTATAGCGTGTTCTGAACATTATTAAAAAAAAACGGAACTATAGTCCTTGAGCTTCATTTAAATGCCACACATTGTCCTAGAAGACAAAAGGCAGATCTGTGCCCTTGAAACATGGATTTTCACCGGAACAGATACATCTTGTTTTCTCTGGTGGCATCTTTCTGAGTCAGGGAGGAGGCACAGCTGCCTCCACAGATTGTGACAGCGGCCGTGCAGGACACAGGGCACTGGGGCCAGCCAAAGAAGCCAGGTTACTAAAATGACAGCCCACAGGGGATCCTGGGCAAGGACCCCCAGACAACTGGTGTTCTGGGCATCCAGGAAGCAGATGGACAAGCCTCGGTCTCCAGTGACAGACTGAGGTGAGCAGGGAGGCCGAAGGCAGAGTGCTGAGTGTGAAGTTCAAGGAGAGGGCTCAGGAGCGGATGATGGTCAGAGATGGTTCACCGCCGTATCTCAGGTACTGAGCTCCAGCACCTGCACTCCTGTGCAGCCAGGCTGGTAGCTCCTGGTGGCCGGAACAGAGGTTTAGAGAAGCAGAGGGAACCTGCCACTGTTCCTTCTACGTTTATCATTCAGCAGCTATTTCCTGAACACCTACTATGTGCCAGGGGCATACGTGTGGCATCTCATGCCAGAGATAAGATGGTGACTGAGACCTTTTCCAGCTGTTAAGTACTTCGTGGTCTAGCAGGAAGTCAGTTATTGTGTCAGTCAGCTTTTGCTAAGTTGTGCTGTGGTGATAAATTGTCCCCCAAACATCAGTGGCTTACAAGAGCAAAGAGTAGCTCCTTGTGCACGTTGCATGTTAGCTGTGGGTTAGCTTCGGCTCTGTTCCAGGTCCTCTGCCTTCTGGGATCCAGGCAGAAGGAGCAGCCCTTACATGGCACACGTCATTTTCATGGTAGAGGGAAGAACAAGAGGGGTGATGAAACCAAGCAGTGGTTCTTAAAACGTCGGCTCAGACCTGGCTGGCGTCACTCCTATTCACAGCCCAGTAGCCAGAGCAAGTTGTGTGGCCACCGGACCGATGTCACCGGGGAGAGGAAGCCCACTGTCCCACAGGGAGGTGCTGTGCTGTGAGACACACAGGGCAGTGAGCAAAGTGTAGATTCCTCTTTCAGGGGGGCTGGAGAATGTCTGGGAAAAATAGGACAACCTATCACAGATAGAAACAGGCGGTTACAGTAGCTGTGTGATAAACTTTATGGTAAGCACATGTAATCAATTTTCACTTTACAAAATAAAATTTTTATATAAAAATATAGCTTCCCCTAAATTAGCTTTAGGGATTCTGTTGACAACATAGTTTGAGAACGGCTAGCCTGAAGCCGAGGATTGTTCCAGAGAGCTGGTGCAGGGGAGCAGGAGGCGGCGGGCCTGGCCCTGGGCACCTGCACACGCGCTGTGCTGTTGGAAACAAAGTTTCTTATAGTGGCGACCCACCTGCCACCTTCCAGCTTTCCTCTAGGCTCGTCTTCCGTCCCTGTGATGTCGGCAGGCCTGTCCATACCTGCAGGTCTCTTTTGTGCTGCATCCCTCCATAGACACATAGCCCTCCTCCCCTCACAGTCACGTCCATGTGCTTTTAGAAGAACACCCTGTTTTTTGCTGCCTCCTTATGTCAGTTGATGTTTGAGGCCTGGGCCACGGCTTCCTTTCATGCAGCCTACACACCTCCTGCTACCACCCTGGGCACATACTAGACACCTAACAAATATGTGCAAAAGGGAGTTTAGCATGAAGGGGAAGCCAGCACCCTGTAGGCCCGTCTGTTGCTCTCTCTTCACAAGGGTAGGCAGCGGCTGTGTGGGTGACGGCAGAGTTGCACAAGAGTGACTCCAGCCCCTGGAGCACCGGGTTGAAAGCATGCTTTCCCTTGGTTTGTAATTGGTATGGAGACTGAATCGCTTATCCTCTCTCAACGAGCCCGTGTTCGTCTGCACTCACGTGTGCTGCTTTGCAAACGCGAGCGGCCTTTTCCAAAGATATGCATTCGTGTTTTCCAAGGGCGAGGGCTGTATCTTCTTTTTTCTTTCTTTTAGAAGATTCCCCATGGCACCTGATAAGAGCTGCACTCACAGGGGGTAAAAATTTGCCTATCTCCCCTTCCTTTGAAGCTCCCGCCAGATACAAACACAGTCCCGGACCTGTGGGCCTTTGCAGAAGACTGATTACACACAGGCCTTGATCTTGAGAATTTTACAGCAAAGGAGTGAGCTCTCAGACAACTCTGATCCCGGCCAATAGCAATGCAGAAGGACAGTGTGGCTGTGTGTTCTCTCAAGCCCACCCTCATGACGGAAACCGTGATGGGGGACCCTGAAGTGCTGAGTCCTGGTGTCAGACCTGCCGGGAATCCTGGCCCCACCCCTATGCACTGTCAGGATCTTTCACACATAATTTGACCTCTCTGAGCCTCTTTCTTATTCCATGATGTAGGAATAATAAAAAAGCCTCTTAATTGTTGTGGCCATTTGCACCCGTAAATAACATCCTTCTTTCCTGCTCGTGTTCTGAATCAGGTGAGGCTTCAGTGTAAAGAGCTGGCAGAAAGGGGCTCAAATACTGCCATTGTTACTGAGAAAGTGTTGACAAGAGGACAGGTGGCTTTGGGCTTCAGTGGTGAATGGGGAATTAGGTGGACACTTCCTGTAGTCACAGGCTGCTTAGGCAGCCACAGGTGTCCTCTGGGGAGCGGAAGACTGTGCAAACTTAGGTTCTCGATGGTGGAAGCGAAAGCACTCGTTCCTCACTGATTCCCAAGGGGAAGCACGGTAGGTGATTACTCTCCTTCCCAGGAAGAACGTGTGAGCAGGTGCGGGACCGGGAGTGCTCCCTTGGCAGAGCTGCCCCAGGTGGGAGCAAGGAAATGTGGAGACACAGCCTTCCACTGGGAGGTCAGGGGTCTTTGTGGGGCCTGTGGGATTCCAGGATGTCGTTTCAGACTAATACTTTTTTTTAACAGTTACAGCCGAGTTGCCAATTATGAAAGCCAGCCTCCCAGTGCTTCTGCAGTGCGTTCAGACGTTACCCTATGCCTTTGGAGAAACATAAAAGGCCGTTTCTTATTTAGCTTTTTGTGATCCAGACCTTGAACTGAGATGGACCCCTCCGTCCTCTGTCTTTGCTCCTGAGGGCCTCACGGTGGTTCGAGAGCCGTGAGCTGTTTCCTGAGGCCTGTCCTGTCTCTCTTTTGCAGTGCAAGATGGAGTTCCATGCTTGTTCTACTGGCAAAAGCCTCACCACCCTCTGCGACGGGCCCTGTCCGTGTCTCCCAGAGCCCGAGCCCCCGAAGCACAAGGCAGAAAAGAATGGTGAGTGGGGATGGCAGGGGCCTCCCTGAAGGAGGGATGGGTGGTGCGAAGGGCTGGCATGGCTAAGCTGCTCCCAGATGCCGGAGGGGTGGCATCCGTCAGAGCCAGGCTGGGGAGAGGGGCTTACGTGGCAAGTACTACAGCTTGTTGAGGGACTGCCTTCAGCTACCATTAAAAAGCAAAAGGAGAGCCGAGAGTCTTTGAAATTAATTCTGTTAGACCAAGATACGCATTAGGTCCTTCGCGAGGTCCAAGTGGCTACGGTGTGGGAAGGTCAGGTGTTTGCAGCATCTAAGACCAAGGCCTGCCCTGGGGTACATCTTGGTCTGCCTTGAACTCTAATCTCTAAATCCTTTGAACTTCTCAAGGTCAAAGAGATGTCATAATAGCGGAGAGTACCATTCCCCCCCCCCGCCCCCCAAAGGCATTTCTTTATTTATACATTCTGCTTGGAATACAGCACAGAGCCAGGGGATACATGAAAAGAGAATCCCTCCCCAGGGGCAGCTGTTTCTTCTCCATGGCGGAGAGGGGCAGGGAGGTTGGGCTTATTTGAATGGATGTTTTCATGGTGTAGAAAGTGATGTCGCCCCACTGGTCTCAGCTCCTTTTCGAGGCATCCCTAATGAGACCCAAGATAGAAGTTTGCGTTTTCCTTCCGTGGAGCTGGGCTTTCTCAGTTGTAACTGGCTAGTCCATGGAAAACATTGCACATCTCTGTGTGTGAGCATGTGTACGTGTGTGTGTACATGTACGTGTGTGCGTGTACATGTGTGCGTGTATACGCATGCACGTGTCTTCTAAAGTGTCTTCTATTTGTAATGGAGGAAGAGGAAGAGGGTGGGGGTGTTTATCCACTTGCCTCTTTTTAAGTCGTATCGTCTTTTCTAGGGCACACAGATGCTGTTCAGGTCTAAATGTGTTCATGGTGGTGACTTTGGAAATACTGTGTTAACAGGCTCTTTGGGAGGTTTTACTCAGAATGTGGAAGGACCTTGTAAACTATGAAGTGCTATGGTCACAAATAATCTCCACAGTGTCCTCTTGATTCCCAAAAAGCTCATCCCCTTGCACTGTGGCCTGATTCATTTCTATAGCTGCAGTAAGAAATGGTAACTCATATACCCAAGCCCCTTGTCGTATGGACAGAACACTTAAGCCCTGTGGTGCTACACACCTACAGAGTCTAGACGATTAACTTCTGTGTGGAGATTTCTTAAGCATCTTCTTAGGAAGTTTCCGTAGCCTCTATTATTCCAGGTATATTGACACCTCTATTCTGAGGCATGCACACCAAACCAAGCAACTCATCTCCACCATGTTGCCTATAGTATCTATAAATGGGGGTGAACGCGTCTCTCCTTAGGGGCGTCCAGCTCAGCTAAGGCTTCCTGACTTGCCATCATAGGGTAACAGACCGGTTTTCTGGGAGGGCTTTGTGGTTCTCCAGACAAAGTCCAGCCCTTATTTCTTCATGGTGGGTTTGTCATGCCTGATTAAATGGACTCGAGACTCCAGCTATGGCCTTGACTGCACTATCCATTTGTTCAATTGTATACTGGTAAAAATTAGAACACGTTTTTGAACCTATGCGAGTAACTGCATTGCCATTAGAAGTAGAGACTCAGAAAACAGTGCTGTTACTGAATTCTGAGCACTCAGGGGGAACCAGCATACCACCTAAAAGTGTTTCAATTCAAAGTCTTTGTAAAAGCAAAGACTACGAAGTTAACAGTGAGAGCTAGCTCGGGAAGGAAGAGAAAGAGTGTCATCATATACCTTCTCTCCGAAATGAGAACAATAAAATATTATAACAACACTACTCCAAAACAAATAATCCAAATTATATTTCCCTTATCAGTTCTTTCAGTCCTATATCATCATTTTTTATTCCACTGGCTCTTGGGTCAAGTTTGCTTTTATGAAGTCATCTGCCTCTGGAAAGGGCCCTGGAGCTCCACACGGAGTCTCTAATATCACCTGGCATTTCTGGAAGAAATATCACCTTGGACGCCTGTAACAATGAGTCTGTTACTTGAAGTATGGCTCCAACTTGGTACAGTTCTTTCCATGAAGCTCTGAGACTGTCCGTCTGGTTAAAGACTCAATTTCTGGACTGTACTTACAGCAGTGTTTTTATAGAAGCATGGGGGGAAGCAGAAACTGCCTGGAGGATAAGGACATACGGGCAGTGAGGGGACTGATAAATCCCTGGGGTCCTTATGTGAAATGATTAAATTAATCACATTTTACCTGGACCAGATTAATCAAGGGAAGGCTGACCTTTTCCTTTGATTTGACAGTTCTTTCCATGCAGCTCTCACCATAGTTTGTGACAGGCAATGAGTATTGAGCTGAGGTTGTAGCACTTGAAATGAAGAGGAGGGGATTGGTGGGGAGACAGGTCAGAGGTGAAATGAAAGACAGCTTTCTTTTGGCAACTTAGCTGTGGGGGTGGAGAGAGGAGGAGTGGCCACGTGGTCCACCCCCCCCACCCCCCCTGCAGCTGCTGCTCCTCCCAGAAGCCACAGGCAGTGGGAGCAGCAATCTCCGCCTCCCTGAGACACACCTTGGCTCTGGACTGTGTCAGCAGCAGTCTTGTTTCTGTGTCTCCTGCAGAAATGACGTTTCATAGTCTCACAATTGTAGGTGTATCAACATGTGGCATTATTATTGTTGTTGATATTTTCTTGTCAATCTTACCCCTGTCTTGAACCTTGGTTCTATTTGGTAATGAAAGCATTAAAGTAATCCCTTCCACATCCATTGTGTCAATTCAGGGTTGTATCTAAATTCTAGGAAGTAGGGGGTGGTTGGGGGCTTATGAGCTGTGATATGGGTGGGCGTTGTCTTTTTTGGGCCTCCACCTTTACAGAGTTCTTGCTGTCTTCAGTTAGTTGGCCTGCCGTATTCTTCCTCACTGCATCCAATGAGCGATGTTTGGGACCCATCCATGGCCTCTGCCCACCATATGCATTAAGGTCATTCTGAGCACTCTTTCTTCTATGTCCTACTCTTCTGGGTGTACTAATCCTCACACAGCCCCTCCCTGACCCCCTTCAGGGCCACAGTAAACTTGAGGATGCCCTTCTGTGACCTTCTGGTCATAGTCAAGAAAGACTGTGGTGAGCTTGCTATCTTGAGCCCTCATTCCTTGGAACTGCCTGGCAGCCACTTCTAGTCTATGCAGGGGATATTTTTATGAGGCTTGCATCACGTTGGATTTCTTAGTGGTAGCAAAACACAGGTCCTTTTTGCTGCTGGGGCTGTCCACCTGCCTGGGATTTCACAAGTGCCTGTGCCCTACCCAAGACCCAGAGCTGGGCGGGAGACGGGGAGAACTGTGGTGAGCAGAACCTTTCTTAGGAACTCACCTGCCTCTACCTGGTCTCCTTCCTGAAATGTCACTTCTTATAACCCCAACTTTGATCAATACTGGGTGTGGATATTGCAGGTGTGTGAGGGCAAGGTCCAACCCATTCTCTTTCCACTCTCTAGAGGACTCTGCTGCTTCCAGCCCTTGGCCTTTTGAATCACAACATACCCAGCAATTCAGAAGTCTTTTGTCTCAGATCTAAGTTTCAAGAGCATCTTTGGGACGTCAAAGCCAACTGGTTGATTTTTTTCTTCTCCTTATTTTTTCTGGCATCTTTTTTCTGACCTCTAAAGACATGCAGATGGTGATATCTCTAAATGTTTCCTCTCACACCTCTAAATTACCTCACAATCTTGGGACGGTTACTTAATTGCTTTCTCTCTCTTATCTCTAGGATGCCAGTCCAGCCTCGAGAGCATCAAATGATGATTGTCCAAAAAAAGGATAAATTATTAAAAAGAGGGAAACGAAATTGAAATCTAGTGTTAAGCCTAGATCCCTGGACTTTGTTGAACCGTAGGAAAGGTCTCTCCCAATTTCTCTTGGTATTTTCCAGTACCCAACAGCCAGCCCAGTCAGGAAGTCAGTTTCTTATATCGAACATTAACTCTTTAGCTCCAAGTATTGCTGCTGCTTTTTCTTTAGTCCTCAGTGAATATTATGAGAAATGTCTGCGGTATTCATTTCCTGATTTCTTTGCAGTGGTTGAAAATCTAAGGGGAAAATAGAGGTCTTTTACCATTAGCGTCTTTAAGATACATGTTTATGTATTAATTTTCAGATTTTTATTAAAACACAGCTAACATACAATATTATATCAGTTTCAGGTGTACACCATAGTTATTCAACATTTATATACCTAAAGAAATGATCACCATGAGAAGTCCAGCAACCATCTGACACTGCACCACGCTTCACAATATCATTGACTATATACTCCCTATGCTGTACATTGCAGCATGACTTATTTGTTTTATACCTGGAAATCTGCACTCCTTATTCCCCTTTTAAACTAACCAGCACTTCTCCCTTTCCAAATCTGAGCCTGTCCCCACCCTGCCCCCACCCCCCTTTCACAGGGACAAAACATGCCCCTTGGCCTGGGCTTGACAGCCTTGTCCATCTGGAGGAGGGGCTTGGCGCTCCCTCACTGCTGAGGTGAAATTTTTGCAGTTGTAGGATGTAGGATGTCAGATCAGGAAAGATCTCACTTATCTTCTTCCTTACATCGTTGAGGGTACCCTTGTGTTCTTACAAGGTGCCTCAGGTGTCCCCATGAGGACCAGGGGAGACCCTCCAGCCTCCTCCCTAGTGACTCCATTTTTATGCTTTACCATGCTAGGTAGCATCTCTAGGAAACGAGTTTGACCACCGGTGATCCTTGTTCAGCCCCCATTTACCAGAAGAGGAAATGGAGACCCACTAAGAGAAGGAATCTTGCCAGAGGTCAGACAGTGGGTTGGGGTTAAGCCTGAAGATGGTAGAGGGTCTGTAGCTGAGTTTGGTGGTAGTTAGATTTAGTTTCTCCAGGGTCTGATGTCACTTGCTCAGATCTTAAAGTGTCAATCATTAGGCAGAGAATGTTATTGTGTCCCCACCAGCAATGTTTTGAATGACATTTGAG